CCCCAAAACCCCAAAACCCCAAAACCCCAAAACCCCTTATTCCCTTCCCATTACAATAAAATAAAAATGTCTTGCACCCTTACTTCCGAACAATCGCTCATTTCCAAAGAGCGTTCCTTCGAAAAGTCCATCCTCAGGTCAATAGACCTAAAATGCCTGTGCCCACTGGGCCACGACTCTGATGGTCAGAAATTTGTTACTATAATGAGCCCAAAGTCAGAAAGGAAGGTGAGTAAGAGCTTAATGTGTAGGTTATTGAGATTACGAAGATAGGGGTCGTGAGTGAAGTGGACGTTGAGAGGATTACGACTGGAGGCTATAGGTTCAGGCATATTAGGCTATTGGACAGGTATTTTAGGAGGTATAATGGAGCTGCGGAGGTTGAGGATGTGGATATTAAGTCTGAAGTCAAGAATACGCCGTTTAAGTTGGTTCTGTGTGGGTTATGAAGGTAGGTGGGAAAATGATTTTCTTTAGAATTTTTCCGAAAATTACGATGTCGATGACGATAGCTAAATTTAAGATATCAAGACAGCAGTTGGGAAGGATTATTACTGGGTTAAGTCGTTGTGAGGAGATTATTTTCTCTTTGTGTACTCTTGACTTAGAGAAATTCAAACTAAAAGATATGGATTATAATATTCATAAACTCGTCTTTAAATTCTGCTTTGAAAAGACTTCGAAAAAGCAGATTGGAGATGAATATGAAAGTACAAAGCTTCTTGAATTGATTCGCAATTCCTCTCTTCAGAACTCTCTAAAGAAATTAGAATTCAAAGGTATGTAACTTTGTTCTCTTCTATAAAACTTAATTAATCTTGATTATTCCAATATTCAGCTTGAAATCTATAAACCAAATAGTCTTACTTTGTGTAGATTGTTTCTTTGAACACAGTCAGGAAGCCACAACTAAGCTGTATAAATTATAAGCAGTAGTGAAACCAAAAACGTAGAGTATTGATCTCAAAATCTCTTGCGAAGAATATAATCAAGATTACTTAAGAATATGTGATTGCTTAATAATTTTGATTTTATCCTCATACTCTAAAATATCATTTAAGGGTAAAATAACTAAACATGTTTAATTTTAGTACACTCGGAGACATCGACTGACCTCCTTAACATGATTTATTATTTTTCAACAATCATGTGAAATAGAGGGGTTTTGGGGTTTTGGGGTTTTGGGGTTTTGGGG